CTCTAAAACGGGGCTGGCATCTCCTCAGATCGCCAGACTGGTGAGAAGGCAACAGGCTCGCTTACACAGAATCCAGTGCTTTTGGAGAGTAGGGGTTTGGACATGGCTGTGGATTCTCACTGCGGACTGAGGCTCCTCCAGCTCCAATCTCGGACTTGGGGTGCAGTGATGCCTAGGATAGACAGTCAGACCTTTCGAAGGATGGAGCAGGTTCCTCCCTGCTCTCCCACCCCCGAGTAACCAAGTCAGTGTGCACCTGTCGGAAGCAGGCGTAACTAAGGTGTGGCAGGTAGGGCACATGCCCCGGGAACCGCTTGAGGAGAGGCGCCACTGAGAAGTTTCTATTGGTCATCGCAGTTCCCATTGCCAGCTGTGAGAGATCATTCAGCAATTTAAAACGAATTACCATAAGTGCTATTTTCCCTAGATAGACGCTTGCACCTACAGTGTGCCACTCTCTGTGCCAGGCCAGCTTCCCTTCCTTTTCCACATTTACTCCTCGGACTAACCCTGCTCTGGGGGGCTTTGTAGCCTCTTTTTAAGAAATAATCTGTGAAATAAGTCAATCACAAAAGGACAAATATTGTATGACCTCACTTATGTGAGATGACAAGAATAGGTAAATACATATGGACCAATGACTATTAGTGGTTACTTGAGGCAGAAGGGGGAAGGGAGAAGGGAATCATTCTCTGGGAAGTAGCAAGTTTATGTCCATGCGATGGGAAAATTGGCATCCATTAGGGGTAATGTTTACACAACTGGATTAATGTAACTGATACCACTAAATTGCACACCAGAAAAAGGGTGAAATGGCAAATATTGTGTTATATATAATTTTACGACAACAGCAACAACAAAAAAAGAGGATGCAGTTGCTGAAACCACCTAGGTACAACCAAACACCTCATGGGATTAGTTCTCCTGAAGGCTTAGGGTCATGGCTTCGTGGACCTGTTCGGCCAATTGGTCTAACACTATTTTTAGAGTTTCTGTTCTACTCTCCAGCTTGGTAAGTAGTGCCTGGGATCTTAAAAGCTTGCAAGTGGCCATCCAAATTACAACAGTTGGTCTCTGTTCGCCTGGAGCAGCAGAGGAAGAAGGAGACCCAGGAATCAGAGAAGGAACTGGACTGCAGGTCTAGTTGCCTCCATGAACTACTGCCTCCTTTGCCATGAGACCAGAAGACCTGGATGGTGCCTGGCTACCATCATTGAACGTTTTGATCAAGGACTCAATAGCTGAGTCCTGATCAAAAGGGGGAAAAATGTGGCACAGAATTTAAAATTTCTTCTAGAATCCAGACTTACTGGACCCCTTGAGGTTGGAGCAATGCCTGAATCTGTTGCCCTGAGAAAATTTTTGACTCTTGAACCAAAACTATCCCCTGAAGTCACCTTCAAACTACAGTTTAGCTGAATTGGTAAAGAATGTTTGCCTTGAGCAATGTGCTTTTTATTTTTTTAAGTGAAAGTTTACAATTCAAGTTAGTCTCTCATACAAAAACTTATACATACATTGTTATGTGACCCTAGTTGCTCCCCTATACTGTGACAGCACATTCCTCCTTTCCACCCCTAATTTCCCATGTCCATTCAGCCAGCTCCTGACCCTCTCTGCCTTCTCATCTCATGAGCATTGTGCTTTTCAAAAGAATTATCTATATCAGATCCAATTGACAACAGTAACTCTAAAGCAGATGAATAGTTTATGGGGCAGTGAGTCTAAGTCAATGGTGGTGGAACAATATGGGTAGAGATAATGAAAATGGTGATACAGCATGAAGAATGTAACCAACATCACTGAACTGTACATGCAGAAATTATTGAATGGGTGTATGATTGGCTGTGTATATTTTCACTAAAAATAAAATAAATATTTAACAAAGAAAGAAATTAAGAATCTGAGGCTCAGAGAAGTTATTTGCCTGAGGTTACACAGCTAATAAGTGACTGAGCTGGTATTCAAAGCCAGGATTTTGTGACTCCTTAAGATCACCTCTTCTAGGTAAAGAGTGGAGGAGGGGGGCATTCACTGAGCCCCCACTGGAAAACAGGCTGAGAGTCCCAGAAACATAGGGACCATGCTGGTTTGCTCTATCCCCAGTGCCCAGCACTGGCGTGGCACAGAGTAGGTACACAATAAACTGGACAGCTGGTTTGTTGAATTAATTAAAAAATAGTGATCTGATCGACTTTTTCTTCTGCTTGTTGTTGTTCTAGTAAATATATATACCACACAACATTTGCCAATTTAACATTTCTGATCAACTTTTGTTGTTTGTTGAATCATGCCATCCCCCCTCATAAAAGTGACTGATCATTGTACCATTAAATGAGATTTATTATGTTGGCGTCTTTAAGAGAATGCCTATAAATAAACTCACAAATCAGAAGAGGGAAAAAAGATCGTTATTTGGGGTGGAAAACAGTTGCTTTACTGACAAGGAGGGGGCAACCGACTTTATGGATTCTCTACGATTTACAGTTTGCAAAGATCAGCAGGGCCTGGGGAGGGCTGGACTCTTGGCTCCCACTTTGGCCTCTGCCTTAGGGCTGTGTCTTGGAGCCTGCTTCAGTTTCTCCAAAGACAGTGTCCTACTGGTCAGCACCAGTAGGCTGTGGTTCAGTGGTTCAGTCCAAAGCCCAAGGTTCAGGCCAAGTTTGGGGACATCACAAATATAGAAAAGAGACTAGTAGCAGGTGAGTGGAAGGGTCTGGAAACTCAGAGCCCCTTACAGGGCAGGCAATATAGTTATTGGTTGGCTCTACTCTAAGCAAGCCAAGGGTCTAATTACTGGTGGACTTAACTTTAAGCAAACCTTAAAATGGACTCAACTGCAGGTGAGGCCTGCCCTAAGTAAACAGCTAGAGGCATCCTGGGCTCTCAGCAGGAGATGAAGTCTTTGTTTCTGGAGCTTCAGGCCCAGCCTGCCTCAGGAGGTCTGCCTACTTCCCTGTTCCAGAGCTCCACCAGGCTGCGGAGAGGTTGGAGGCAAGGCTGAGACTGGTTTCTGCTGTCCCCACCTGGAGATGGATGGGGGCAGACCCCAGGTCCACTGGCTCAGTGGGGCAGGGCTGGGGTGAGTGGGGATCCACGCCCTGTGGGAGACTGGCTTTAGGGGCGTGAGAGGAGGATGGGGCCTGCTCAGGGCTGGCTCAGGTGTGTCAGCAGGTGGATGACAGTGTCGGGGATGCCGGGCTGGGGGCCCTCAGGGCCGCCGAGGTGCTTCGAGTGCCAGAGGAGCTCACGGGCGAAGACTGGCTCCACCTGTGGGGGCGGGTGGGGCGATGAGCCGGTGGGGCGATGAGCCGGCCACCTCGGTTACCAACCCCCAACCTCCCCGCTGGAAAGTCACAGTCCAAGTGACAGCCCCCTCCCCACACCCATTTCACAGGCAAGGTCAAGAGGTGGCGCGCTGGGACTGAAGCGAGCGGGCGAGGGACCATGCAGAAGGCCTGGAAGTTGTGGCTCCCTGCTGGAGTCAAGGGTGACTCACGTGGGCCATGACGAGCCGCTCCTCGGGCTGGCCCGGAGGGCCCGGGTACTCCTCACCAAAGCACAAACGGATCTGGTACTCGGGCTCCGGGTGGCCGTCCCGCAGGTGGGCACACAGTTCTATGGGCACCAACTCTGTGGGGGCTGGGCCAAGACCTTGTGCACACCTTGTGCTCAAATCCCATGGCCATGTCCTGTGAGCCCACATCCCCACTGTGTGCCTGTGCCCTATGCTCACTCCCACATCGTTATACCACCCCATGCCCACTGCCACTCACCTATGCTTATTTTGTGCCAAGGGTCCCTGATGCTCACTCCATGCCCAGCATCCCTATACTAACACGTATGCCAAAGTCCTATGCTTACGCCCACAGCCAGCACCCCAAGCCTGCGCCGTGCCTAGGCCCCAGATGCTTATGTCCATCTGTGTGTCCAGTCCTCCTGGTGCCCATATTTGTGCCCACTCCCGGTGCTTTTGTGCCATGTCCCTTGTTTCTATGCCCACTCCATGCCCAGCACCCTGAAACCTACTCCCGTGACCACATCTCGTGTGTCCACTCTCCTCTATCCGTGTTCTTTTTCCCGCCCCATGCCCAACGCTTCTGAGCCCGGCCTCTCTGCCCCGGCCCGCCAGCGGCCCAGCTGCCGCGCTCTTACCGTCGAGGAAGCGGCGCGTGTCTAGCAGCTGGCAGGTGCGCTCCCGCTCCAGCTTGTTGGGTCGCGCGCGGTGCGGGGCGAGCGGGCCGCGCCAGTACACGCGGCCCTGGCACAGGCGCTTGGCGAATACGCCCTCGGGTGCCACCCACAACAGCACGCCTCGCTCCAGGTGCGGCAGCAGGCGCTGCAGCACGCGGGCTCCTGGCGGCGGCTCAGGGAAACGAACTTGCGCGATGCGTGGCGGCGGTGCCAGCAGGCGTTCGGCGGCAGCTGCTGCCGGTGGGCTCAGACGGCAGCCTTCCGCCGTGCGCGCGGTGGCCTCGCGCACTAGCGCCGCGCCATAGAACAGCCGCACGTGCAGCCAACAATCTGCGGGGAACGGGAGGGGGCGCACGCCGGCCGGCGTTGGGGGTGCCGGCTCCCTCCACCTCCACCCTATTCTCCACTTCCGCATGCTATCTACCCTTCCCACCTCGCATTCCCCCACCCTCCCCATCCCGTCTCCACCACCGGGCAGAGAACCACCTTGGGAGTTTTTGGCGATCCCTTCCCATCAGGGATAATAAAAATTATAGTTGTAGTAATAATAACGATGATGATAATAATAAATAATAGCCGCTTCCAGTATAAACGAACTGGTAGTTGAGCTCCACGATTAAAAGTGCAAGCTCTGGGGCCATCTGTATTTCCGAGCCAGGGACACTAAGGCCCTCCCAGCCCTGACCTCTGGGATTCTAGGAGCTTACTCCCCGGCAAATATTTCAATGCTGGGAGGAATAATAACAATAATAGTAATAATAATACAGCAGCAGCCCACGTGAGGAGGCAGTAGTATGCTCAGTGGTTAGGGCTGTGGGCTCAGCAGCCACACCCTTGGATTCTAATCAATCACTGCCACTTAGGAGCTGTGACTCGTTAATAACTGTCCCAGGATTACTAGCTGTGTGACCTTAGGCGGGGTTCTGAATCTCTGTGTAGCAGTTCCTGCATCTGTCAGCGGAGATAATGGGCGTACCTCTCTCACAGAGCTGTGGGAAGCGCTTAGAAGGGTGTCTGGAGGAAACTAAGCCCTCAACAAATGTTAGCTGCTGTCGTTGTTATTGGCAGTCTGGGCTGGATGCTTTGGGTGGGAGGCAGAGGCTCAGGGGAGGGCCTTTAGAGTTCCTACCCGGGTTGCTGAAATCTTCCGAGGGGGCGGGGCTCCAGGAGTGGGCGGGGTCCTGTGCCAGGTACCCTGGAGGAGGAGAGGAAGCGGTTAGGCACCACCTCAACCGGGGCCCTTGGGGAGGCAGCGAGGTCAAGGGCCCAGGGGAGGCGGCGAGAAGACAGGGCGGGTGAAGGGAGTCTGTCCTTACTGTGGTCAGCTAAAGGGTTTGGCAGCAGGGCGGCTGGCAGTAGGGAGCCCTCCTGGGCCAGCCTGGAAGCTGACTCCTTGTCCTCATCCTCTGCAGCTAATCCAGAGCGGTCCTGAACACAGGGAGAGAGGACCGTGACGGTGGGAGAGGAGGCCTGTGAGCCACAGGATTTCCCAGATTGTCCCCACCGGGACAGAGGGAAGTCTGGGCAGACTGAACACCGACTGGATTGACAGGATCTTTGAGGTTTCAGAGCACAGGACTGCCTCTCCCCCAGATACGCACACCGGGTGAGGGAGTGAAGAGAGAGCTGACCAGGGTGTTAGGGGTGATGGGGTCAGAGATAGAGCTTATTGCAATAGGGAGAGAAATGCTGGGGCAAATGAGGAGATGGGGAAGAGAGGTGAGGGAGCTAGAGAAGCTAGGGACAGAGTGAAGAACTGATGCTGATGAGGACACTAGGGACAGTGGAACAGAGCCAGAGATATTTGGGGGAATGGGAACAGAGCAATGAACCATCGATGATGGGGGTGGAGGTAATAGGGGTGATACAGACAAAGTGATGGAGCTGGGTCTGATGGGGTGAATGGAGATGGAGTGAGGGGACCCAAGGGTGATGACAGAGAGGGGATGAAGGAGGAGAAAATAGGGTTAACGCAGACAGAGGGATGGAACTGAAGATAGTGGAGGTGATGGGAACAGTGAGGGAGCCAGAGCTGATGGAGGTGAAGGGAATAGAATGACGGAGCTGGAAGTGACAGGAGACACGGAGTAAAGGCAACAAGAGGTAGAGCTGATGAGAAGGACGGAGATGACTAATGACAATGCTGGAGATCATAGAAACAGGAAACCTAGGGCTGATGGCTGGTTGGGTGAGAGGTGACTGAGTCAGGAGACTACAGGGGCCCAAAGGAAACACCTACCTGGACTGTTCTGCAAGCTTGCCCAGTCACTTCCCCAGGAGGCTTCTGCTGGCTCAGGGGAATGCCCTCTTCAGGGAGAGCACAGGCCTTGGTCACTGAATGAAGCAAGGGACAGCAAGGGACTGGATGGAGTAAGAGTCAACTGAAGTGACCCCAGACAAGAGCACCCCAGAACACTGAACTACTTCAGGCAAGGCCCACCTCTCTCTGGGCCTCAGTTAAACCAAAAAAAAAAACCCACTGCCGTCGAGTCAATTCCAACTCATAGCGATCCTATGAGTTCCAACTCATAGCGACAAGGGGTAACTGGGCCTCAGTTACCCCTTGTCAAATGAGGAGACTAACTAGATGGTCTAAGAATCATTCTAATTTACCAGCCCATAAGTTTAAGCTCAACAAGTCTACCCTTTCCCATTTTACAGATGGGCAAAGTGAGATCTTTAGTGCCCAGAAAGCTGCCTGGGGCCACTACCTCCAGGGTCAAGATGGTACCTGGGTCACGGGCGACCTCGGATACAATCCGGTAGACCTTGTAGGGGTTGGAGATGTCTAGCTGGCTACGCTCGCGCACCTCACAGAAGTCAGCACTCTTGTTGAGGGCACAGCGGAGCCGCGTCTTCCAGGTAGAGGGGTCCTCCTTGTCAGTGCCCTCCAGGTGCTTGCCCTTGTACACGGCCCAGGCCTGGGAGTGGTTAGCGGTACTTGGGAGGAATAGCCTGGGCTGGGGGACTGGGGCCATGCAGAGGCCCCCTGCCTCCCACTCTCTTTCCATCCATCCATCCATCCATCCAACATATTCTTTGAGCTCCTACTATGTGCCAGGCCCTGAGCTAGGGGCTGGGGACTGATTGGAAAACAAGACAGACATGGTCCCTGCCATCAAGGAACTCACAGTCTTATGGGAGAAGACAGGTAAATGTGAATACTATATTCCAAGTGACAGACTGATAAATGCTAGAAAGAGAATAAATAAATAAGGGCATGGGATACAAAATAATGGCAGTGGTTTGCTATCTTATGGACTCCAGATGATTAAAAAACCAAATGTAAGAGATAAAGCTATAAAATTAACAGAAGGCAATGTAGGAGAAAATCTTCTATGCCTGCTTTGCAAGAACTCGTACAAACCAAAAGATATTCGTTAAACACACTAGAATGATTGCTTATTGTGGGAGAGGGACTAAATAAATCAATAAGAAAAACGAAGGACTACTTTAGAGAGGGTGACCAGAGAAGGCTTCTTTGAGGAGGTGACATGTGAATGAAAGAAGGACCCAGTGTGACAAAGAGCTGGGGGAAGGGTGTTCTAGGTAAAAGGAGGAGCAAGTGCAAAGGCCCTGAGGTGGAAAGGAGATTAATAAATTCAAGGAAGGCTGGAGCAGAGAGGTCAAAGGGGAGGGAGGGAGGAAATGTGTTGCTTCATTTATCACACTCAGGGCTGAGGGGGTTATAGCTGATGAATTGCACTCAATTCACTGTCCTCAGAGACCCCAGGCCTTGTGGGAGACATTGACACTGAAACAGAAAAGCCACATTTCCTATGTTGATGCCACTTGCCAGAGGTCAGACTTCTGAGGCTTGATTTCTTTATCTGTCGGCTGTGCTGATAATACCTCACCTAGAGTGGTTATGGGGGACGTAAGATGAGCTGGTGTACATAAAGTGCTTAGCACAGCGCCTGGCACACAGTCAGTCCTTACTTATCACAGCATTTATTCACTGTATTAAGGATACGTTAACTCAAAGGTGATACGAGCACAGGGCATAGGGCATTATCACTTCAGTGTGGGGCCAGGGACTGTGCTGAGGAAGTCTGCCCAGAAGAGGAGGTGCAAGAATGAACTCCGTGATGAGAGGGATCTTTGTTTTGTTCACTGCTATATCCCCAAGCTCCTGGAATGGTCCCAGGTGCACAGGAGATGCTCAATAAATATTTGGGCTGGGCCTTGAAGGATGAGTAAGAAGAGCCAAGTAGGGCAGAGGGCACGGCTTGAGCAAAGGCCTGGCAGCGTGGAAGGACACGGGGCATTCGGGGGACATTCAGCAGCCTGGTGTTGCTGGAGCTGGGAATGTGTGTCTGAGGGTATGTGTATGTGGTGCAACGAAGGGGCAGAGAAATTAAGGAGGAAGAGATAGGTCGAAGCCAGATCGTGAATGTCCTTGAAGGCCAAGCTTTATTCTATGGGCTTTGGAGCACAAGAAGGGTTTGAAGCCAGTGTGTTAGTGGTGGGTTGAGGAATGGGTCAGAGTAGCTGGAAGGAATCTCCCTCCTCTGAACAACAGCACATAAGTCTTAAGGGCCAACCTGTGCAACCACTCATTCAACACTTATTAGCACCTATTGTGTGCCAGGCACTGTGCTTGGCGTCACCACCTTTAAGCAGTTGTCTGCTGGAGGAGACAGACTCATACAAGGCACTTATAGTTCAGAGGGAAAGGTGTTCCAATGGGGGAAGCAGAGGGAATCAGGGAGGATGTGGGAGAAGCACTGAATAGGAGCCTAATAAATGCATTAAATGAATGCATCAGGGACAGCTATCCTGAGGAGACCTTTAAGCTGGGGACAATGGGAGTCGGTCAAGTGAAGAGGAGAAGTTTCCAGATACAGGGAACAGCATGTGCAAACCTCTAATGGTGAGAGAGAAATGAAGCATTTAGAAACTGAAAGAACAGTCAGGCTGGATCTAAAGTTGGGGCAGGAAGGGAGTGGAGGAGATGAGGCCAGGGAGGGGCAGTTCACACAGGGCTTTGAGGCCACGGCAAAGTGTTGGGATTTTATCACAAGGGCAATGGGGAGCCAAGGAAGGATTCTGAGTAGACTGGCATTTTAGAAAGATCCTTCTGGAGGACTGAGGGGAGAGTAGATTAGATGCTGGGGGACAAGGGAAGCAGGGAGCCCACTGAGGTCATTGCAGCTGTCCTGGTGAGAGATGGTGGAAATGGGGCCAAGGAGATGGACTCAAGAGCTGTTTTGGAAGAAAAATCAGCAGGCATTCTCTTCCTTCACCAAGGGAGGAGATGTGAGGCTGGAAGAGAAGGGGGAGCAGCCAGGGTCCAAGTGTCTGGCTCTGGAGTTTGGGTGGCAGATGGTGCCATCTTTCACGTAGGGAAACAGAAGCTTGTAGGGGTGAGCTGATGGGTGGGGATGAACTGAGTTTGAGGGGCCTGGGGGCCATCCAAGAGATAGCTCTCTCAGAGGCAGCTACAGCTGCTTGCCTGGGGCTTGGAGGGGAAGCCCAGGGGCCCTAAGGCACCAAGCTGAGGCCATGGAGAGGGAGAATGGGACAGTGGGATGTGAGGAGGGAGGTCCAGGAGTGCTGGGAGCCCCAACACAGAGAGCTGGGAGGAGGCTTAGAAGCAGCAGCCAGGGAAGTAGGAGGAAAATGAGGAGTGGGAATGGGATGGGAGGGGGGAAGGTAGAGATTCTGAAAACCAAGTGAGAGTGTTTCAAGGCGGAGGGAAGAGGTCCAGACCCACCCAGGGATCAAGGGAGATGAAGCTGCATCCTGGTTTCGCAACCAGAGACATTAGCAGGAGGAACAGAAGCGAGATTGAGGGGGAGGGGGCTACAAAAGGGCTGATGAAGGGGAGACTCTTTGGGGGTGCTTCACTCTGTGAAAGAAGGGGAGAGGAGGCCAGAGAAGGGGGCTGGAGGCTGCTGTGGGGTTTGGGGTAGTGGTGGTGGCCTGACGTGTGCTTGGTTATTTTTTGCTGCTGGGAGAGATTCCAGAGTTTAAATGTCGGTGGAAGAAGCCAGTTTGGAGGCAGTCAGCGACGACCAGGAAAGGCAGGGCATCACTGGGGGAGGTCCCTGAGAGGGGCTGGTGTTGGGAGCATTCCCTAAGGGTTCCCAAGCTGCAGGTTGGTGGCTTGGAGATGGGAGGTTGAGGGAATTCCCATTGTGGTGTCTAATTTCCCTGTGGAAGGGCAGGAGAGGCCCCCAGGGAAGTGGGTCACACAGCTGTGGCTGACTGTTTTTAGAGGGTATCTGGGGGTCTCCCATATATGGTGAGCACGACACTCTACCTAGAGACAACTGAGGCCTAGGGACTGAGCGAGTGGCCCAAGGTCACACAGCATGCCGGTTAGTCTGGACTTTGGGGCCAGGCACTTCCAGAGCCAGTGCGCGGAGACCAGGCATCCCCCAGCCCCCCGCCCCCTTACCCTAAAGAGCGCAGCGTCCTGCTGCGCCTGGTAGCCCTGTTTGGCTGCGTGCTTCCAGGGGATGCGGAAGATGGTCTTGCCCGGGTCTTCCCAGCATAACCCCGCGTAGCGCCCGCTCTCGATCTGTGCCACCAGCCAGTCGCGGAGCCGCCGGGGACCCCCAGCCCCCTCCATGTGGACCTTTTCCCTTCCTCTTCCCGCCAGGAGTCGCCGGCCGTCGGGCACGCAGTGCGTGGGGGGCCAGGTCCAGGGCGCAAGGCGGCTGGATCAGAGCGCGTGGGGGGCGCAGGGCCACCTGGATGGCGCGCCGAGGCGGCGAAAGTGAAAGTCTGGGCTGGTAGGTTTCACTTTCCGTTCTGCCCCCTCCCCCGAGGCCCTTTCCTTTCGCCCCTCCCCGTGGCAGCCTGGCCCCGAGGGCGTTGGGCCTCAAGTGAGGGACGACCAGAGGCGCCCTGGGACGCCAAGACTGGTGGGAGGGTGCGGGATGGGGTAGCCTAGATTCTGCCTCACCCCTGCACCTGTTCTCTGTTGTCTCCAGCCTATCCGGAAACGTATACGTCTCTCTCCAGGACCTGGACTATCAAGCTTGGAAAGGCATAGTGCTTCTCAAACTGTAATTCCTATCAGAATCGAGGGTCAGTGACGGGCTTAAAATGCACACTCCTGGTCCGAGTTCCCCGAAAGGATCCTGATGCAAGTGGTCCATGCGCCACACTTGGAGAAATAGCTCCTGAGATTTTGGAAGCCCCCACCTCCCGGCCACTCACCACTGGCCCTTGCCTGCAGCATCTAAAGTGGTTCTCACAACAGCACGTGAGGTAAATACAATGACTTATTGTTAAGGAAACTGAGGCTCACAGAAGTTAAAGCCTTACATCAAGGTCCCAGAGCTACGGGGTAGGGGAATCAGAATTGGAACCTGGGTCTCTGCCCTCATAGCCCAGGCGTCTAACCTGTGCCCTACACTGCCTCCAGATAGCTACACCTGGAGTATAAGGACTCCTAGTGGGGTCTGTAATCCCCCCTTGACAGTATATGTACATTTTTTCATATCTATTTTCTGTGGTTTGTATCTCTCATTAAATTGTCAAGGGGGATTTGAAAGAGTCAAGTAGCCTAGACTGCTCCGCTCCTTGCTGTGTACATGGGGAAACTGACGCTCGGATAGAGCGTGCACAGCAGTGAGCACAGAGCTGGGCACCTGGCCAGCTTCGACCAGAGGCTGGTAGCACTGTCTTTCATGTGTGCCGGTCAGGCGGGCCTTCTGTGTGCCCCTACATCCCAGCAGGCACCTGGTTCTGACACTTCCGCAGTCACAGCCAGGATTCAAACTCAGGCTTGCTGGAGGAAGGTCTTTGTCTCTTTGAGCTTCTGCTCCTGGGCAATCTTCACGTGGCTTGGCATTTCTCTTCCCCCATCTCTACTTGCTCTCTTTCATGTTTAATCTCTTTTATATCTCAAAAGAGATTGACTCAAAACACACCCTACATTAATCATGACTCATTAACGTAACAAAGACAACCCATTCCCAAATGGGATTATAACCACAGGTAGAGAGGTTAGTATTTACAACACACATTTTTAGGGGACACCATTCAGTCTATAACCCCACCTGACATATTTTTGTTTATTGACTCTCTCGCCCACCACAATGTCAGCCACCTGAGGGCATAAGTTTTGTCTTGTTTTGCTCATTGCTGGATCCCCAGTGCCCCACACCGTGCCTGGCACACAGTCGGTGCTCCGTGTTGAATGAGTGCGGTTAGGGCAGCAGGTGAGGGTATTTCATCTCTCCGCTGACCCCCAGTGCTGGGATCTGTGCTTCCCTGACAGCAGTGAGCACAGTGCTTGACAAATAATTTAAAAAAACCAAACCCGTTGCAGTCGAGTCAGTTTTCGACTCCTAGCAACCCTACAGAACTGAGTAAAACTGCCCATAGGGTTTCCGAGGAGCACCTGGTGGATTCCAACGGCCAACCTTTTAGTTAGCAGCTGTAGCTATGAACCACTGTGCCATCGGGGTTCCTGACGAATAATAGGGACCGCATAATGCTGTAATGGAGCCCTGGGTGGCGCAGCGGCTAAGAGCTACAGCTGCTAACCAAAAGGTTGGCAGTTTAAACCCACCAGCCATGCCTTGGAAGCCCTATGGGGCAGATTTACTCTGCCCTATAGGGTCACTACGAGCTGGAATCGACTGGACTGCAACTTTTTTTTTTTTAAAGGCTGCAGTTAGGTTATGGCTATTTCAGGCCCTGGGCAACTTCAGGCTAATTTTCGTTTAGGAAAAACCAGCTCCAGTGACCTGTGTTCACCCTTGAGGTCAGTCGTTACTTTCCTGAGCTGACCTGTGGCCCTCCCTCCTCAGTGGCCGCCCTAGCCTTTATACTGTAGGTGGGAACGGTCATACCCAATGGCTGGGGGTGGATCTTCCAGCACCCTCCACGACCAGAAGGAGCTGCCAGGCACTCCATCAAGAGACTCAGACTGCCTAGGTTCAAATCCAGCCTCCCCTACTCCAGTTGTGTGTCCTTGGGCCGGCTGCCTGACCTCTGTGAGCCTATTTCCTCCCTAAGGATTAAGTGAACTCATGCATGTAAGGTCAGGTGTGAGGAAGCAGGGCTTCTAACCAGTTTGTTCTGGTCGAACCCCTGCTAAGAATTTGAATTTCTAACAACTTCCTAGGCAATGTTAATGCACTGCTTAGGGACCAGTTCTGAGAACCACTAATACAGCAGTGGTTCTCAAAATTTGTTATACATAAGAATCACCTGGGGATCTTGTTAAACTGTAAATTAGGATTCGGTATATCTGGGGTGGAAAAGCAAATTCTTAGTAGTTTGAACTGGAACTAACCGAAAGCTCTGTGAGGAAGGCACTACCTTACCTTATTACTGAATTCAGAAGGGAGTGCTGGGGAAGAGGAGAGGGGAAGGGTGTTCAGAGAGGAGGAGGGGCTTCAGGAAGGGATGAAGGGGAGAATCAGAGAAGTGCGTGTACCCAGAGTTCAGCCTTGTGGACTTCAGTTGGGAGTTCCCTGGGTAGCAAAACAGTTTGGGCTGTCTACTTAACCTGAAGGTTGGAAGTTTGAACCCACTCAGTGGCACTGAGGAAGAAAGGCCTGGCAATCTGCTTCCATAAAGATTACAGCCAAGAAAACCCCTTGGAGCTGTTCTACTCTGTAGTACGTGGGGTCGCCATGAGTTGGAATCAACTCATCAGCAGTGGTTTTTACGCTTCTTGGGCCCTCAGGGAAGAAGACTCCCTCCCATCCTGCAAGTTCCTGGCACCAGGCAGAGTCCAGCTGCCCTGCTTTTGCTGAATAATTCGAGGGATTCAGACAGGCATTTTCTGTCTCTTTAATATCCTTCAGGCCCGGTAGGCCCTCACCCACCCCACCCTCACCCTCCATCCCTGCCTTTAAGGGTCGAGACCCAGGTGCCCCCTCCCCCAGCCCGAGGACTAAGGCACCAGGTGGCTGCAGCAGGCCAGCCGACGCTGAGACACCGACACTGAGACGCACAGAGGAAGGACACACACTACCGACGCAGACAAGCAGGCGGGCAGGGGAAAGGCGGGGCTCAGGCCGTCGCGGGGCTCCCATAGGCTCTGGGCCCGTCCTGGAGGCCGTGGGAGGCCCACACAGACCCCGAAGGGGACCCAGTCGGGAGGAAGAGGGGAGCCACACAGGGTGGGCTTCTCATTTGCCCCCCTTGCGGGACAGACACCGCGGGAGGCAAGAGAAAGTCTGCTTGACGCGCGCCAGCAGCGGCAGCGGCCGGTGGGTTTCCCGGGGTGTCCGCGGCACCAGGCGCTGTAGGGTTCCCTCGGAGAACCCGGAGGGCGGCGCGGTGGAGGCGGCCGAGGTGGTAGAGCCCTGACGGCAGCGCTTGCACACCGGCAGCAGCGCACGCATCTCCTCCTCGTCCCGGAAAGGGCTGTCCCCGAAGCGCTCCTCTAGGTGCCGGCGAAGCTGGGGTGCGTGGTACGGTGGGACGCGGGTCAATGCCGAGCCTCAGGAAAGGTCAAGGCAACCGGCCCCACCCCTCCGACCTAGCCCGGACCCCTGCGCCAGGTGGGCTAAGGAAATCTGGGCGCCCACCCTCCCTTCCGCTCCGCAATTTCTCTCTCAACCCCCGGGCTTCTCCCACACCCCGCTAAACCCCTCCCATTCCTGAGCATCCTCCTAGCTGCCCTTCTGAGTTTCTTTTCGCTCCCTGTGTTTCCCTTCATCTCTCTGAACCCCCTTATCCTCTGAGGCCCCATCTTCCAAACCTGCTAAAGTGACCACCACCTACATAGTGGTGACCGCATTAACCCCTTCTGTCCCTTCCTTGTGTTCACACCCACTGGCCTGGACAACTCTGTCCACATAGGCTTTTTCCTGCCTGCCTCCTTCCGAATGCAGCAGCCTTGCATGTAAGCCTTTCAGAACCAGCCTGCTACCTGCTGAGCAGCGCTTGCTGCTTCCTCTCTTTCTCTCTCCTTATCTCATTTCTCAGTCCCTGGGGGGCCTCTGTTTTTGACATTTTCCGTGTGCTATCTGCCCAGTAGGCAAAAGGGAAGGAAGAGCTTTGGCCTCATCAAGGACCTGGGCTGGGGGTAGCGGGGTAGGGCACACAGTTCTCCCCCAAAGAGTCAAACACTCGACTGCCTTGGGGTTCCAGGCAGATAAAGCAGGCAGTGGGGAGAGCTGGGACCCAGTCATACAGCAGGACCCACAGTCTTGCCTAAAGGCATTCAAATTTAAACAAAACAAAACACTAGCTGTCCAAACAAAATACCCTTGGGTGCTGGATTAGCTCCAGGGCCGAATTTTCGACTCCAGGAATATCTTCTGCCAGGTCGCAGGCACAGGATCAATTCTTTCCAACTGGTGCTCAGCTCAAGTGCGGAGAGACTCCAGGCTTTCCTACCCCAGGCCCAGCCCAGCCCCTGCCCTAGCCCCTACCTTCTGGGAACTGCCCCAGCCAAACTCCTCCAGCTGCTGCTTGAAGCCTGGGTTGGGGTTAGCGATGGGCCGGTTGGCCTTGATGGCATCGAGCACATCACGCCAGCCTAGCCCCGTCACAGTCATCACATATGCCGTCACAATGGTGGTGCTGCGGGAGATGCCTGCAAAACTGGGACCACCCCACCCCCCAGGCTTCAGGTAAGCCCCAGTCTCCTGCATGCCTCACCCCCAGGCACCCCATTCCCCCCCTCAGCTCTCCTGGTCTTGCTTCTGGAGTTCCAACTATGAGGAATCTTCCAGAGTCTCTCTTCTCACCTCCAGGCCATTGTCCATGCCATTCCATCTGACCCGAGTATTCCCCCTGGTATTCTCTCATATTAATAGCCTAGGGGAACATCGCTTCATTCATTCATTCAACAAACATTTCTTGATCATCTGTTGTTTTTCAGGTACTGGGGATATAGCGAGGAATAATCTAGACATGGCCTCTGCCCTGCTGGAGCTTACAGTTTGGTGGGGGAGACAGACATTAACCAGGGAAGCAATTTCAGGTGGGGATCAGTGCTTGCAGGAGAGTCCAGGGGGCTAGGAGATCCTATAGGAAAGGGTACTAATCTAGATGGGGGAACATGGAGAGGATTAGGAAAGGGGTTCCCAAGAAGGTGATATCAAACTGAGCCCTGATGGACTGGTAAGAGTTAGTCAAGAATGTCCTGGCATTGCGAAGACCCTGAGTAGGGAGCCACGAGGGGTTGGAAGAATAGGGAGGTCAGTGCAGCTGGAGTGGAGGATGGAGGGGAAGAGGCTGGGAGACGAGAATGGAGAGGCGGGGAGGGGTCAGACAACTCAGGGCCTTGTGGACTATGGTGTGGAGTTTGGATTTTACCCTGAGTGGGATGGGGAGCCATGGGAGGGCTTGGAGCCAGAAGGCACCATGAGTTGTTGCTACAGGGGGAGGCCAAGGGCCCTCTGCCCTATCCAGCCCTTGAGGACAGCACCTATCACCTGGCATTTTAATTGTTCATCTCCTCGGGAGCTGGCCTCATGGCTGGGGCTCTGGCACAGCCAGCTCGAGCCTGGTATAGGACAGGTGCTCAGTGAGATGTTATAGAATAAATGATATCACCTGAGCCAGGGGCAGCTGGGAAGACTCAGGGGTTCTGTTTCCCAGCCAGGGGCTCCCTACTGCCCTGTACCATCGCCCCAGAGGCCTGGAGGAGAACAGGGGAGAGCCAGAAGTATTGGAGGATGCTGGGCTACCTGCATAACCTCAGCTAGTCCTCCCAACAGCCCTGTGAGCGCAGCATTCTTTCCCCCATTTTACAGATGAGGAAACTGAGTCTCAGGGAGGAACAACTACTTGGCCGTGGCCACGCAACTGGTAAGGAGAAGTCATTATTTGAGCCCCTGCTTGGCCTCTACCTGGAGAAGGGTGGACTGTCAGGCATTGTGACAGGCTGAAGAAGATCTCTTCTAGGTTTACCTTCCCAGGGATAAGTGTGTTCGGGATGGACGGCAGCCACTTCCTCTCCCCCCAACCCCCTCCAACTCCCCTCAGAACTCACCAGTGCACTAGGCAGTTCCCCCCATTGAGGCGGCAACAGTGGATGAAGTTGATACATTCTTTGAAGTGCTTTTTGCTAAAGAAGAAAGCAACAGAGCAGGGAGCACTGGCAGACGGAACTCCTAGGAGCTGTCCCCCTCCCCACTTACGGGATGGCACGGGACAAAGCCCTGGAGTCCTCAGGTCAGCCAGCATGTGCAGTGAATAGGGGCCAGTACTACAGTATGAGGTAGAGGTGTGTGAAGCAATAATGGCATTTCAGGCGGTGAGAGACCAGTGACGGCAAATCCTGCCATATGGGGACAGCAACCTGAACAACCTGCGCACGAACCACCTCTCCAGTGGGTGTGGTGGATCCTATATTCACAGACCCTGCATCTTGGCCTTTCAAGGGAATGCGTGGGAGGAGACACAGTCTCACTCCTCTGGAGTCTGCAGTCAAAGCACCTGGGAACAATGACAGTGGCTGGGAGCAAGATTCCTAAAGGGTAAAAATGTCTGTCTGGGCCAACCCATGCTGGGAGGCACAGGATGTTGCTAATAACACTAACAAACAACCCATTTTCTGAGCCCCCACTACACACCAGGCCTTGTCCTGAATCCTCAACCCATGTCCTCTGATCTCACCAGCAGAGGCTCAGAGAGGGGAAATGATTTGTCCAAAGTCACACAGCAAGTAAGTGGCAAAGCCTGGCTAGGACCCAGATGTCTTAACTGAGGCCAGGGATAGGCTAGGCCTGACCCTTTCAACTCTGTTGGTGCGTCTGATCTCAAGAGGCAGGATACTTTCTCCATTTCATAGCTGAGGAGACTGAGGCTCAGGGAGGTTAAGAGTCTTGGCCAGGGGCATACCACAAGGGCATGGTTGAGACAAGAGTCAAACCAGGGTCTGGGTGACCACCCATGCAGGACAGCCTGATGGTCTGAATTCTCTCTGGTCTCCTTTAGACCACCTCATGACACACCGTCCCCCCCAGCTACCACCATAGGAGGCAGCTGTCTGTCCACCTGGGGGAACTTACATGGGCACCTCAGGGGTGTCAGCCACTGGGATGCGAAGGTAGGTTATGTCCTGCAAGCACAAAACACACTCAGGCAGTAGGGGGCGGGGGAGCCCCTTACCCATAAACCCCTCCCCCTGCCCTGGCCTGAGCTGCCCAAGTGCCTGGTGACCCCAGGCCAGTTCCCACCCATCTCTGGGTCTCTGTTTCCTATCTGTCCAAAGAGGGTAGATGCCATCTCTGAGGGTCTCCCAGCCCTGACCATCTTGTGATTCTGAGCAGATGCCACAATCCTAACCCTATAAGTGATGTGGGCATGAGGACTTGATAAAAAGGACCCAGCGCCCCTTTACCTAATAGCTGGGAAAGGGCTACTTAAAGTGATTCCCCTCCAAATGGGGGCCAAACTTGCATAAATAGGGCAAAGCAGATCTGATTATCTTGAAAAGAAAATAAGCTTATATTTCATGAACTATGGTTAAAAATCATGTGTTAGTTATTAGAATAATCAAGGAATGAACTGTCGGTAATTTTTCCAACAAAATTGCTACGACATCCTTTGCTTCATGTTAACCCTTCACACAAGACCATAAAGATCAATTTTGCTCTGTGTTCCAAGGACCTCATTGCTTTTCTCAAAGACTTCCCTTAATCTTTTGATATTCAAATGCATCTTTTCAGGTGCCTGGCTCATCACTGGCCAGGTCCTCATTTGTCAATGACTTTGTGTGAGAGTCCAGCCATTCTCCAACACGCTGTCCTCAAGGTCACAAAATCCTGCATCTTTTGCAAGGTTTGCAATTTCACTTTGCAACGCATTTGGCCTTGGGCTTGCATGGCATTATCAAGCCCTGACTGGTAAATTCCCTGATGATGGGGAGAGAGGGACACTTGTGAGAAGAAGGGAGGGCTGTTGGAGCAGGGGCTCATTTTGTAAGCAATCATTTCATTAGTAAATATATTCATGACTTGACCACCTTCCCTATGCAATCTAGTGACTGCATAGTCCAAATACTCCCAAACAAGGCTGCCCTACAAAGCCAAATCAGACTCCATTGGTCTGGAAGTTGCTTCTTTGGATGAAACTGAGAATCACAGACCATTAGACGTTGCTCTTAGAGATCATCAAACCTGACCCCCTCATAGGACACGTGGGGAAACTGAGGCTCAGAGAGGGGAAGGGCCCTGCCCAAGGTCACACAGCAAGTCTGTGGCACAGCCTGGTCTCAATCTCAGATGTCCAGAGCCCACCCTTGGCCACTGTTTTTTCCCTTCAGTGGACAGAGTGAATGACATAGACTCTAACAGATCAGGAGGAAGTAACTCTATTTATGGGATAAAAAAAGTATTAACCTTATTATATTAGCTATAATTTGTTGAGCACCTACTATGTGGTTGTCATTTTCAATCACTCTGTCAACAACTCAGTGAAGTAGGTACTATTATAAAATCCCCATTTTACAGATCTGGCAACTGAGGCTCAGAGAGGTGAAGTCCTATGCCCAAGGTCACAGAGGGAGTAGTGGTAAGGATGTGAACTCTGGCCTTCTGACTCTAGCACATGTGGTCTGGATTTACCTCTTTCTTCCTTTGGGTAATAACACCTGACTGACCCCCCTTTTTCAGGACCAACTCCTCTGGTGTGAGCCATGCTTTACAGGTGTAAAGCATCTTCACCACCCCGCAGACCACCTGAAGCCTCATAACAGCCTCCTGGGGGCAGACAGGGCTGAGGGGACAGAAGCCAGAGAGGTAAAGTCACAGCCCAAGGTCACATGGCAAAACACACAGCCTAGAACCATCCATTTGGAATCATCCATTGGATTTAGCAATAGGAAACCCGCATGGGGGCTTTTCAAGGTTCAATGTGAGGCCTCTGGGCCAGATGAATCACCTGTGTTCATATCCCTGCTCTCTGCTTCCTGGATGTGTGACCTTAGGGGAGTTAGCTTACCTCTCTGGGCCTCAGGTGACAAATAGGGATGGTAATGTAAAACAAGCAGGCGGTGAAGACCGAATGCATTAGCGTGGGTCAAGACAGCAGCACAGGGTCTGGCACACAGTAGGTGCCTGATAAATGGGTGCTGTGGTGTCTGCATCTCCCGACCTGTCTGCACCCCTGGGGTGTAAGGAGTACCTGCAGCAGAGGCTGGGGTGACTCGTGGATGGAGATGATGTGTGTGATCTTATTCCGGCCCAGCTGATCCGGGTCTTTGGCGTCTGAAACAAACAGGATGCTGGGGCCAGTCTGGCAGGTGTGACCTACTTGTTGCTGATGGCCAAGAGAGCTGGGCAGCGAGCTCCCGCCCCACCCTCCCACTCCACCCTGGCCCACCCTCCTTTCCCACCTCCTGCTCCTGGCTTGACAGGTCCTGCCACTCCCTCAGGCCTCAGTCTTGGATCTGGGGCACCCCTAAATCACAGCCCTGCACCTCTCAACCCTGCCCATCCAAAACACCCTTCCCTGGCATATCCTCTGACCCAGTAATTCTACTTCTAGGAATCTCATCTACAGAAGTGTTTGCTCCCACAGGGAGAGCTGTTTTCTGCAGTACAGCTTGTAACAGTAAACACAGCAGAAATCATTCAAAAAGGGAAACAATTTAAATGTCCATCAAAAAGGGCCCGGGTGAATAATGGTATAGCCAGACTTTAGAATACTGTGCAGCCAAAGATTGTTGTGTGTTGTCGAGAACTGCCCCATATGGTCTTCTTGGCTATAATCTTTGCAGAAGCAGATTACCAGGTCTTTCTTCTGCAGAGCTGCTGGGTGGGTTTGAACCACCAACCTTTTGGTTAGTAGTCAAGTACTTAACTGTTGCACCACCAAGGCTCCACTGTAAAGATTACGGCCAAGAAAATGCTATGGAGCAGTTCCACTCTGTAACACATGAGGTTGCAAAGAGTTGGGGACTGACTCAGTGGCAGCTGACAACCACCACCAAGGTATCTGAAAAATGACCCAGGGTTATATCCCCCACTGCTAACAGTGCTCATCTCTAGAGGCTGAATTTTCAGGGTATGCAGATCTTTTATAATTGGAATAAATAATATTTTTCCACTTCTATCTTCATATGGAGCCCTGGTGGCACAGTGGTTAAGAGCTCTGGCTACTAACCAAAAGTTGGCAGTTCAAATCCACCAGCTGCTCCTTGAAAACCCTATAGGGCAGCTCTCCTCTGTCCTGTAGGGTTGCTATGAGTCAGAATCAACTTGACAGCAACGGGTTTAGGTTGTGTTTTTTTTAAGTTATCTTCTTATGTCCACTTCCTCGTTCAGCAAACATCTACTGAGTGCCTACTCTGTACAGCCTTTGGCCGGGCACCAGAAGTGTGGAGTTAGTCTTACGGCCCCTTCCCGTATGGGCTTGTACCTTATTAGCCAAATACTCACAGAAGTCAATGTGGTGTGACCTGCTGAGGTGGCTCCCAGGAAGGAAGGGACCGGGATTTATGGGACTAGACACCAGAGCCCACCGGGGGTTGGGGTGGATGCGGAAGGCCCTGCCCCACACTTCCAGGCCCAGTTCAAATGCCCCTTCCTCTCTGAAGCTTTCTCTGACTCCCCAGATGAAAATGACTTTTCCCACACTGGGTCCTCCAAGGCCCTGACCAGCCCATCTCTTAGAGTGTTTTCTACCCCACGCCCCAAGGTCTGTGTTTAGATTTGTCTTCTCATTGCCAGACTGGAAACTCCTTGAGGGCAGGGATGGGATGTCTGTCCATCTGTGCCCTCCTAATTGATGCTTGTAGGAGGAATGGGTGAGAGCATGGGGGGTGAGAAAGCTGCACGAGTGGGCTTGTTGGCGTGTCACCCGCTCTGGCACAAGGCTACTCAGTTGCTCATCTCAGGGGCTCTTCTGGTGGGAGCAGGGTCAGTGCTCAGGACCCTGCTTATAGGAGGGCCCAGCCTTGCCTTCAGAGGCCCCTTCTCTAGAGAGGGGGAAGGCTCCCAGCTTCACAGCTAAAGGCAGCACCCCCAAACAGACCTCAACTCAGAACCTCAGGGCCTGGTGCTGAGGCCCAGAGTGGGTCCTCAGCTTAGGTCCTGAGCCCTTTGCTTTGTCCTTTGACCTCTTGAATGAACGTTGGTGGGAGAGGGGCAGAGATGGCAGTGTCAGGCCCCCAGGATGCTCCCTCCCAGTCACTTCAGGTGGGGAGCAGGCCCCCTGCCCCCTGCCTACACACTCCCTAGTCCTTCATGAGCCCTTTCCCCCTCTCAGCCTGGAGTCACTTCCCTGCCCCCGGCCCATTCCTGAGTCTGTCTAAGTTGCATGGGCCAGAGCCTGAATGGTGGACACAGGCCTGGGACAGGCCAGGTGCCATGGCCTTGGGACACAGTGGGCAGTGCTCACCAATGAAGTTTCCAAGGTAGAGTCCAGGAAGTACCTACAGGAAACAGGCAGGGAGTCAGCAGGGCAGGGGATGCTCCCTCTTCCCACCCCTGTCAACCGAGGGCCCACAGCCCCTCTCTGGACTATAAAGGGTGTCAAGACTTTAAGCAACCCCCTCCCCCTCGTGGGGCCTGGGCCCTCTGTGAGAGGTGTCTGGGCCTCTGGGGAGGCAGGAGGCGGGCTGGTCAACCACAGGGAGGGCACCAAGGGAGGCCAACTTGAGTAGGGGTGAGATGGGAAGAGGAGGCGGGGGGAGGGCAGCAAGACCGGGGGGAGAGGGTAGGAGGAACAGAAAGGAGGGGGCAAGGAGAGACTTGCCAAGGGAGTGGCAGGGAATTCTGAGGTGGAGGGAGACAGGAAGGCAGGACAGGTGAAGGGACATGCAGAGGCAGAGGAAGGTCTCGGACACAGGGAGAGATGGAGAAACAACACCAGGGAGGGAGTCCAGACTCAACCAGAAACTAGGGAGACACAGACACAGACTCACAGAGAGACACACACACAGAGTCTGGGCGTGACAGCACAAAGACACAGCAATGGATATAGTCACAGAGAGACAGGACAGAACAGAGGCAGATAGAGAGAGATGCAGGGAGACAGAGACCAGAGAGACGCAGAGACAGAGGCACTGAGAGAGAGAGAAGAGAGATAAAGGCACAGAGAGATAGAGATGCAGTCTCAGAGTCAGAGAGGCGAGCGGAGACCCGAGACCCGGAAGGTCAGAGGCGGGCAGACAGAGCCAGAGCCGGGGCGCCGCCGCGCGGCAGGGGTCGGCCAGGTGGGGGCTGCGCGGTCCCCGCCCCCTACCTTGGTCATGCCATTGCCCATGATCCCCAGGGCGGGGGTCCGGGCCCACCCACAGCTCGCCGGCCGGAAAGCGCTTGGGTCACGGCTGCCCTGATGGCCCAAGCCCGGCACCTGCAGCCTGGCGAGGACCCGAGGGCCCGACGTCCGCGGCCCTGGCCAGTCCGGCCCAGCCGCCGCCGCCGCCACGGCCCGCCGACCCTGAGCCGGAGAGGGAAATAATGGTGGAGCCGCCGCTGCCGCCGCCGCCGCCGCCGCCACAGGCTCCTCCTACCCCCTCGGTCATGTGGGGGCCCGTGGGTCGCGGCGGGGGGCCGGACAAAGCCCCAGTGTGCCGGGCCCACGGCCCGCGGGACAACGGCAGCTTGTTGGGGCCGCGTGGGGCCGCCACCTCCGGAGGTGGGGGCGGGGGCGCTCCTCCCACCCTGGCACTGTCAGGCGCGGGTGGGGCGGGGTGGGCTGGAGGGTGGAAACAGCCCCTGGCGGGAAGGCTCCCCCCACAAGACTCGGACCCCAGTTCCGGGTCTGCCTGGACCTTCCTGTGGACCCTGGGACAAGGCACCCAGTTTCTCTGACCTCGGTTTTCTAGCAAAAAGATGATGGGGGGTAGGTGGGACTTTGATCGCTAAGGGCCTTCTGCTCTTTAGATTCTGTTTCTCAGAGGAGAAAAATGGATAATTCTTCCCTTCTGTTACAACCACTCTCCCCGCAACCCATGCAGCCATCCTGCCAGTCAACCAGCGACCTCCTCCCCCGCTCATCCAACATCCATCCTCCCACCTTCCAATTCATCCTTTCATCCGTCCTTCCACTCACCCATCCAGCCAGCCATCTATTCATCCACACATCTACCTACTCACTTATCCATCCATTTATCCGTCTCTTCTTTCCATCCACTTTGGCCCTTATGAGGATAGTGCCATCGGGGTCAGCTCTTCTGGGACCAGGCATAAATGCTGTTAGGGGCCCCAAGGTAGCAGAGGTAAATGTGTGGGTGGGTGGGTGGGGGGTTGGTAGCTATGGGAGGTCTCCAGTCACCTGGGTCCCTTAGAGTAAAGGAGACTATAACAGGATGTAGTTAGAGGCAAAAGTCCTGGAAGGTAAGTCTGGAGACCAAGGTTTGAGGCCCCATTCCATCCCTGACTTGCTTGGTGATCCTGGGCAAGTCCCCTTGGGGCCCCAACTTCCCCATCTGTATATCTCAGGATGTTGAGGTAAGCCCTTTCTGGCTACTAGGACCAAAGCTGAAGAACATTAAATAATTGTGACCCAGTACCTCCTATAGGATTGAAACAGAAGCAGCTGAACTAGCTCTGCTCCTCCAGCCATCACCCCCACCTCTCTGTCACCTCCCACCCCTCCATCGCTCCCCACCTCTCCATCATCCCCCACCCCTCCACCACCCCCTACTCCTCCATCACCTCCCACAGCTCCATCACCACCCTTCCATCAACCCCCAGCCCTCCATCAACCCCAACCCTTCCTTCCATCACCCCCACCCCTCCATCATCCCTCACCTTTCCCCACCACCCCCACCCCTCCACCACCCCCCATGAGCCCCTGCCTTCCCATCTCTAGCAGTAGGTGATTGTGGGGCAAATGTCAGTACAGAGCAGGACAGGGAGAGTGGACAGAGCCTGTCTGAAATGTAGTGATTGGAGAAAAACCAAACAGTGTCTTTCATGTTTCTTCCTTTTTCGAGTTCATAGTGTACACGGAACTGCCCATCTCAGCTCTCTCTAGGTCCAGGATGGTCACAAAAACCTAATTACTCAATAAATACTGACTGAGCACCTACTACCTGCTAGGTACTAGGGACACGACAGTGGACATGCAAGGTAGGAAATGGTTCCTGCCTTTGGTGGCTTACAGTCTAGACCAGCGCTGCCCAACAGAAATATCATGGGAGTCTCATGTGTAATTTAAAATTTTCTGGTAGATACATTAAAAAAGTAAAAATGGTTCATTGTTAATAATATTTTTCTTTCACACAATACATCCAAAATATTATCATATCAACATGTAATCAATACTTAAGAATTATTAATGAGATATTCTACATCTTTTTAATTGTATTAAGTCTTCAAAATCCAGTGTGTATTTTACGCTTGTAGCACATCTCATGGAGCCCTGGTGGTGCCGTGGTCAAGAGCTCGGCTGCTAACCAAAAGGTTGGCAGTTCAAATCCACCAGCCACTGCTTGGAAACTCTATGGGGCAGTTCTACACCTATAGGATCACTATGAGTTGGAATCGACTCGATGGCAACAGGTTAGCACATCTCAGTTCAGACTAGCCACATCTCAAGTGCTTAATAACCATATGTGGCTAGTAGCACTGTATTGGATAACTCCAGTCTAGAAGGAGAGGCAGACAAAATGAGCAATGGACAAACAATGGACTATTTACAAATGATCACAGTTTCCTATGCAGGAAACAAATGGGGCCTTGGAGGAAGGGCAGAGAGAATCTCTCTGAATAGGTCTGACGTATAAAAAGGAGTCAGCTTTTAAAGAATGGAGAGAGTATTTCTGGCAGAAGGAACAGCACAGGCAAAGGCCCTGAGGTGAGAAAAACTTGACTTTGTGAAGAGCCTTCAGGACTGGAGGGGAGGGAGGCAGCCAAGGGGAGGTGGTAACAGACGCAGCTAAAGAGGAGGGTGGGGAGCTGAGCGTGCAGGACCACAGGTGGGAGTTTAGGTTTTTCTTCTCCATGTGATGGAAAGCCAATGGGACAATTTAACTGGGGAGGCCATCTCATCTGATTAACATTCTAAGTCCATCACTTTGGCCCTATCTGGAGTGTGAATTAGAGGGGCAAAGCCAGGAGGCCAGTGAGGAGGCTACTGTGGCCGAGTAGAAGCCAAGACACCAGAAGGAAGGGGCCAGATTCACCATATATTAATACTTTGGCAACACAGCCGTCAGGACACAGATAGATTGTATGTAGGGGAAAGGAAGGAATTCTAGGATGACTCCCAGTTTCCCTGCCTTGAAAATCACTCTGAGCCACAGAAAAAGCAAGGTTATTCATCCGTTCAACAAACGTTTATTGGGCACCAAGGTATACATGGAAAATTGCACCAAAAACATCCTACTTTGAGTTTCCTGCAATGCTCCACTTCATGGATGGCTTAAAACAGCACTTTATTTTCTTCCAGTTCTGTAGGTCAGAAGTCTGAAATGAGTCTTGAGGGTATATTAGTTTCCTGTGGCTGCTGTAACAAGTTACCACAAACTTGGTAGTTTAAAACAACACACCCTTATTATCTTACAGTTCTGGAGGTCAGAAGTTCGAAATCAGTTTCACCGGGCTGAAACCAAGGTGTTGGCAGGACCATGCTCCCTTTGGAAGGTCTAGGGGAGAATCTGTTTTCTTGCCGTTCTCAGCTTCTGGAAGATGATGGAAGGGGCCACAAGCCAGAAGCCAAGGAATGCTACATTCCTGGGCTTGTGGCCCCTTCCATCATCTTCAAGCCAGCAATGTAGCATCTTGTGTCTGTCTTCACATTTCTTTTTGTCTCTGTCTGTCGTCAAATCTCCCTCTACCTCCTTCTTATAAGGATACTTACTTGTGATTGCATTTAGGGCTCACCCAGACAATTCAGGATAATCTCCCCATCTCAATATCCTTAATCTAATCATATCTGCAAAGTCAATTTTGCTACATAAGGTAACATTCACAGGTTCCAGGGATTAGAACTTGGATCTCTTGGGGACCATTATTGCGCCTACCAGAAGGGGCTAAAACAAAACTGTTGGTAGGGCTGGTTCCTTCTGGAGGCTTCAGGGATAGGATCCGTCCCTTGTTTCTTCTAGCTTCTCTAGAGGCTGCCATGGCCCCTTCCTCCATCTTCAAAGCCAGGTGTGTAGCACCTTCTCCTCTCTCTAACCTCCTGCCTCCATTTTATAAAGACCCTTGTGATTACATGAGCCCACCTGGATAATCCAGGAAAATCTCCCCATCTCAATTCTTAATTTAATCACATCTGCAAAGTTCCTTTTACGTGTAAGGTAACGTATTCACAGGTTCTGGGGATTCGGACATGGTCATCTTTGGAGGGCCATTATTCAGCCTAACACACATACCATCCTTGCTAGGTTTGGGAACCAAGCTTATACTAGCTGCAAATAAATGAGTTGGATTGGTTTTCCTCATTTTCTGTTCTATTCTATTGGATAGAACTATGCTCTTTGAAGATTTGGAAAATTTGCCTAAAACATCATCTGGACCTGTTGTCATTTTTAGAGGAAATTTTTTGTGTAGCGAAGAGGACTCTATGAGGCTCTGTCCAGATCCTTTTTTTTAGGACTGAAGGATTTATTACCCCAGCTGCTGAGACGGCTGCTGGCAGACATATTTCAGCTGTCAGCCTTCTCTAAGAATTGCCCCTGCTGTAGCGAGCTGTCTCACCAAGCTGTCTTCCCAGAGGCATCTGCATCCAATAACAGGTCCAGTGGGGCATATAAAGGGCCAGCCCATCTTAAATCCCCAGTGGGGTCGGCTACAGCCTTTGTTGAGACTGCATTCCAGTCCAAGTTCTGCTCAATCTTGCTTTCTTTCCATCTCTTCCTTAGGCAATGCCCTTATGGGCATCCCTATTAAGCTTCCTGCACTCTAATCTCCATCTCAAAGTTTGGTTTTTGGGAAGCCTAGCTTGTAATAATGTTTCTATTCATTAAATGATATTAGTCTATTCAGGTTTTCTACCAAATTATGTCAGATTCCCGTTAGATAATGTAATTGCTTCTTGCGTGTTTGTTTCATAGTTTGTAACTATACATTTGGGGAACCATTTAATTACTATGTCTTACTTGTTCATTCATTCATTCAATAAACATTATTGACCATCTGCCAAGGGCCAGTAATTCTGCTAAGCTCTGGGGACACAGTGGAAAATAAAAACAAACTTGGTCTTTGCCTTCTTGGTGCTTATGGAAGCGGACGCTTAAAGCTTAAAACCAGCACTTCAAACCGGTTTGTTTTGGTTCGAATTCCTGTTGAGAATTTGCATTTCTAACAAGTTCCCAGGCAATGCAAACACTGCTGGTTAGGGACCAATTCTGAAAACCACTAGTAGAGCAGTGGTTCTTAAAATTTGTTATACATAAGAATCACCTGGGGATCTTGTTAAAATGTAGATTATGATTTAGTATATCTGGGGGTAGAAATGCAAATGCTCATCAAGGGTTCAAACCAAAACGAATTGGTTCAAAACCCTCCCCAAAACAATGGAACCTGTTTACAGAAGTGAGTGGTCAGAGAAGACCACTTCTGACATGAAATGCAAACTAAGATCTGGGCAGAGGGGGTGAAAAGCGCCACCAACAAAAGGAACTTCAAGGATTTAACAGACCTTGAGGTATGTGTGTGTATGTGAGTGGGGGGTGTGTTGTGAGGGGATAAGGGTCAAACCAATAACTGAAGGAAGGTCAGAGACTGGAATGAGGAGAGTAGGGGGCAAACAGTAGGAGAGATGAGGCTGGCAAAGTCCTCAGGCACCAGACCAGTCAGGGCCTTGCTGGTCAAGGTGAGGAATTCCATCCAGTCCTTATCTTAACAGTGATGAGGAGCCATGAAACGTTACCTGTGGGGGAGAGACACGATAGGCTTTGTGTTTTAAAGGGCTGCAGTGCCGAGAATGGACTGGAATGGATAGGGCAAGGGTGGATACTAGCAGACTGGTCAGGAGACTGCTGCAGGCGTTCAGGTGAGTCCTGGCATACAGCTGGTGCTTAAGAATTAGTGAGACTGCGGGAGAGAAGAGTGACTGATTGACCACATTACAGACTGGCCAACTGACCAGGTGACTTACAGAGGGACTGGGTAAGGAAACTTAGTACCACTGCATTTACCAAAATCTGACAACTTTTCCGACGCAGCGCTCTGAGGTCAAGCGAGCTGCAACTGGAAGTGACTCAGGGCAGTATCTACGGCGGTTACCGGCCTTCGGCGGTTGCACCCCAGGGTCGCGGAGTGCAGCGCTCGTGAGAGGAAAATTGAAGCGGTCGAGGAGACTAGGGCCCCGACACACAAAAGCCGCCAGCGCCACAGGGCGGGAGCCTGCGCACTTTGCTGGGGGGCGTGTCCTCGGCTCATCCAATCGGGGCGGTGGATCTGGGCGCCCCTCTGTCGCCTTGGCAACGGGACGCACAGGTTTGCACTGGGCACAGCGGCGGTTTTGATCCGGCCCTGGCAGAGGCCTTATTATGTCGCGACCGAAGGTAGGAATGGCACCCGATCCAGATGCTTTCGTCGCCTCTAGAGAAAGGGAGGGAAGTTGCTGAGGGAGTCTGAAACTGGGGGTCCTCGTGGAGGGATTTGGATTGAGGTAGAAGAAAACGACGGACACAGAGGAAAGACTACAAGTCCCAGCATGCCGCCTGCCGCCGGAGCTGCTGTGCGTGTCCCGATAACTGGGCCTCCTGGTGGGAAATTTACAAAACTCCAGCATTCTAAACGGGACTCGGAGATTTCTGTGACCCCGGGGTAAACTCAGAATTTCTGATTTCCTGACCTGTAAAGCCTTTAGAGATTAATTCATCCTGTCACCCGCCCATTTATCTAACCATCCATCCAAGAAAAACTAGTACCCTTGCCAAGCCTAGCCCAGTGCTGGACAGTGGGAACACAGAGGTGAATCAGACAAGCTGCTGCCCTCTTGGAATTCACAGCCCGACTCTTTTATTTTAAGCGTGTGAAAAAGGAGACCCAAAGAAGAGAAATGAATTACTCTAGAATCCAGCTCGCCCACTCCAACCTGCTTCTTACCCATGTTCCACCTCTCATGAATGGCTCCTCCCACTGCCGACAAAGAACTAGTTTATCTGCTCTTTGAGTGCTCTGAACTTCGCGTTTGTACCACGATTCATTATTCATGAGATTATTTGTTTAGCGTTTGTCTCCCCTACTAGACTATGCACCTCCTTGAGGGCAGGGATCCAGTCTGACTTGTTCTTCCATTTAGCCCCAGTGCCCAGTACAGATCTGACAAACAGTAGGCGCTCAGTAAATGTTTGAAAAATGACTATTGTTGAACCACGTACCAGATGCTCAAGCCAAAAACCTGGGACTCCTCCTTGACCCCTTCATCTTCCTCACCTCCTACATCCAATAAGGGCTCCTTCAAATTTCTAAATAAATACTGAATCTATTTTTCTCTCCATCTTAACTATCTCTATGCTACTCATGATCCAGTTCTCAATTTTTAAAAAATTAATACTATAAACACACAGATTTGGATTTATATTACTTCCTTAAATTGTATTATAAAAACAGAAAATAAACATCTACTGAAATATTCACCTCCAATTAACCTGACTTATTCTTTTGAGGGGAGGGACAAACCGCAGGCTGCCGAGGGATGCACAGACTGTGTGAATACCAGGTGTGGCAGACCCATGTTGCCCTGAAAAATAGGGAGAAAATAGTGGATTGCTTCTTTGTGACACTATATATGTTGTTGTTGCTGTTGGAGAGGGAGACAAAGGTCACCTACATATTGGTCTGGGACTTTGTGGTTTCTCTCAAAGGACCAGGGTGTTATAGATTAAATTATGTTCCCCCAATGTATGGATTAGTTGTGTTGGAATCCTAACTCCTATACCTGTGAATATAATCTTGTTTCGGAAGGTTTTCTGTTATGTTAATTAGATGACACCCTAGTGGGGTGGGTTCTCAATTTAGTCATTTCTGAATCATGAAAAGAGCAGATTAGAAGAAGATGGGAGGGAGCGCACGACGTACGTGGGCCCTCTCCCTCCGCCACCACTGCCGCCTCCTCCTTCAGTCGCTCCTTGTGATGCTTGTGTGCTCGTTCGGCGCGGACCTGATACCTGTTTTGTGAAGCGGCAGCTGAGGAGACTCCTGCGTTCCCTATGGCTGTCGAAAAACCCAAGGAAGGAGTCAAGACTGAGAACAACAATCATATTAATTTGAAGGTGGCTGGGCAGGATGGTTCTGTGGTGCAGTTTAAGATTAAGAGGCAGACGCCACTTAGTAAACTAAAGAAAGCCTATTGTGAACGACAAGGTTTGTCAGTGAGGCAGATCAGATTCCGATTTGACGGGCAGCCAATCATACCTGCACAGTTGGAAATGGAGGATGAAGATACAATCGATGTGTTCCAGCAGCAGACGGAAGGTGTCTTCTAAAAAGGGAGCCAGCTACTTTACTCCAGAATTCTGTCTCTACAGGCCACGAATACATTCGCAATTGTTTTTGTTGTTAGGTGTCCATCGAGTCGGTTCTGACTCATAGTGACCCTATGTACTACAGAAGGAAACACCGCCCGGTCCTACATTCTCAGTTAGAAAACCACAGTTTGGTTCCACCACATCCTGACTACTACAGTATGTTTTTCTCTGTTCTTTCATTTTCTCCTTCCCCATTCCTTTATTGTACATAAAGTAACTGGTGTTATGTGCACAAGCATACTGTTTTGTTTTTTACTAAATGGCCAATGGTATGTTTTGATTGACATCAAGTGGAGATGGGATGGGGAAAAATACTGGTTCTGTGAAAATACTCCCTTTCTCTATTAGTGGCATGCTCATTCAGCTCTTAAACCTATTTCGGTAAGTTATTTTGCTCTCAACTTTTTAACAAAAAGTGACATAAAAAATCCTTGCATACCTTGTTTGACTGGAGAATTTTAATGTTTTTTCATTTATCGTTGTAAAATCAAGAACAATTTTATAACTTTTTTGTACATAGCTGTTCCATGTAGGGCAATCTGTCTTTAAGTGGGGATAAATTACTCTAAAAGAAATGACTCCTAGGTAGTTTTCCCTTCAAGTCAAGTGTCTTGTTGTTTTAATAAACTTCTTGTTTAAAATGGAAAAAAAAAAAAAAAGTAGATTAGACACAGAGGCATGCCCAGATTCCATGTGAGGATCGCCAAGGAACCAAGGGACACCAGGGCTTCCTACAAGGAAGGAATCCACATGGCCAAGACCCTGATTTGGACTTTTAGCCTCCAAAACTCCGAGAAAAAAAAATTCTGTTCTTTAAAGCCACCCACTTGTGGTATTTCCGTTTCAGCAGCACTAGGTACTAAGACACAGGGGAAATGGGAATATAAATTTATTTAAGCAGGAGCTTGATTTCCTCTTCTCATTGCAGAATCAAAATTACAAGGGCCATGGATTATCAAAAGGAAAAGAGCGGTGAGTGATCCCTCGCCCAATCCAATAAACATAATTTCCCTCCTTCCTCCCTTTCTCCTGTCTTTCTTCTTCCTTCCCTCCTTTCCTCCATCCCTCCCTACCTTCTTACTTCAATAGTAATAATTTATATATTAATAATAAATATATTAATATAAACATAAAACATAATAATAATTTAAAAAACTATTATTATTAAGCACTTACCATGTGCCAGGCCCTGGGCTAATCACTTCACATTTATTATCTCACTGAATCCTCACCAAAAACCCTTTGTGGTAGATACTATTATTTTGTCCGTTTTACAGATGAAGAAGAAACTCAGAGAGTAACTTGTTCAACCAATTAGTAGCAGAGCTAGTTGGACTCCAGAGCTCACATTGTATCTAACTATGCTCTCATGCTTTCTTGAATGTCAGCTGTGCCCTGATCCTCTCCTTTACTCTGCATCGATAACCTGTTGGGATTTTCTAAACAGAACCCACTTGTACAAGAGCAGGAGTGAACAATGCAGACTTTACTAAAGATTATGTGGGAAGTCAGAGGAGATAGTTTACATTGCACTCACCATAGCAAATATTTTGCTATGTTGTGTTTTCATTCATTTTCAATGTATTTTTTAAAATTTCCATTGAGACTTACCCTTTGATGCATGGATTATTTAGAAACGTGTTATTTTATTTCCAAGAGTGTAGAGATTTTCCTCTTAACTTTCCGTTATTGATTTCTAGTTTGACTCCATTGTCGAGTCACATCACCCTCTGTATAATTTCAATTCTCTTAAATTTGTTAAGTCTTGTTTTGTGGGCCAGGATATGGTCTATTTTGGTATACGTTCCATGAGCACTTGAAAAGAATATGTCATCTGCTGTTGTTGGGTAGCTTGTTCTATAAATGTCAATTCCGTCCTATTGGTTGAAGGTATTGTTGAATTCTTCTGTGTCCTGCTAATTTTCCGTCTCATTCTATCAATTACTGAGGGAGGAGTGTTGCAGTCTCCAACTATAATTGTGAATTTGTCTAATTCTCCTTTCAGTTCTATCAGTTCTTGCCTCACATATTTTGTAGCTCTGTTTTTTGATACATACACCCTTAATATTGCTATGTCTTCTTGGTGGATTGATACTTTTATCATTATGTTCTGTCTCTCTCTATCTCTGGTAATTTTCTTTACTCTGAAGTCTGCTTTAATGTGACGCTAAAGTAGCCATTCCTGCTTTCTTTTTATTAATGTTTACATGACATATCTTTTTCCATCCTTTTAATTCAACCTACCTATACCATTATATTTGAAGTGACTTTTTTGTAGACAGCATATAGTTGGGCTATGTTTGTTTGTTTTAATCCACTCTGTAAGTCTCTGTCTTTTAATTGATATATTTAGACTACTACACTTAAAGTAATTATATTTACATTCATATTTAATGTAATTATTGATATGTTAGGGGTTATATCTGCCATTTTATTTTTCTGCTTTATGTTTGTTCTATTTTATTTATTTATTTTTTGTTTCTGTTTTCTTTTTTATCTTTCCCTGTGGGTTAATTGAAAATTATTTTAGAATTCCATTTTGATTTTTCTATAGTGTTTTGGGGTATATCTCTTTATATAACTTTTTTAGTGGTTGCTGTGGCTATTACGTTGTCTATAATAACTTATCGTAGTCTCTTGGTGTCAACATTTTACTGATTCAAGTGGAAGCATAGAAAGTTTACCTCCCTTTAATTCCTTTATGTCCCCTGTTTATAATATAATTATCTTAGGTATTTCTTCTATGTAGATTTAGAACCACATTAGACAGTGTTCTAATTTTTGCTTCAATTGTCAAACATAATTTAGAAAACTCAAGAGAAGGAAAGTGTGTTTACCCATATTTTTACTCTTTCCATTGTTCTTTATTCCTTCCTGATGTTCTAAGATTCCTTCTTTTGTCATTTCCTTTCTATTTAGAGAACTTCCTTTAGCCATTCTTCTAGTGTAAGTGTGCTGTGGCAAATTATCTTAGTTCCCTTTGTCTGAGAATGTCTTCATTCCTGAAGGATATTTTCATGGGATATGAAATTCTGGGTTGACAGTTCTTTTAGCACTTGAAAAATGTTGTGCCATTTCCTTCTTGCTTCTGTGGTTTCTGATGAGAAATCCAGTTTCATTCTAATTGTCTTTCTCCTGCAGATAAGGTGTTGTTTTTCTCTGGCTGCTTTCAAGATTTTCTTTGTCTTTTGTTTTTGAAGTTGGATTGTGATGTGTGCATGGGCTTCTTTGGGTTTATCTGTTTGAGGTTCTCTCAGCTTCTTGAGTCTGTATGTTTATGTCTTTTGCCAAATTCCAAACTTTTCAGCCATTATTTCTTTTTTTTACTTTATCTTATTGTACTTTAGATGAAGGTTTACAAACTAGTTTCTTATTAAACAGTCAGTACACATATTGTGTTATGGCAGCCTTTATTTCTTCAATTACTTTTTCAGGGTCTTCCTTTTTCTCCTCTCTTTCCAGGTCCTAAAGCTATATTCATTTTTTTCTTTATTTTATATAGTATTTTATTGTGTTTTAGGTGAAAGTTTACACGGTAAATTAGATTCCCATTTAACAATTTTTCTATAAATTGTTCTGTGTCATTGGTTACAATTTTCACAATGTATCAGTATTCTCATTATTTCCATTCTGTTTGTTCTGTTTCCATTATTCTAGCTTCCCTTCCCCTCCTTGCCTTCTCATCTTTGCTTTTTTGGGTAAATGTTGACCATTTGGTCTCATACAGTTAATTGTTTAAGGGAGCACATTACTCACAGGTGATACTGTTTATTTTATAAGCCAGTCTATTATTTGGCTGAAAGGTGACCTCCAGAAATAGCTTCAGTTCCAAGTTCAAAGGATATCTTAGGGCGAGAGTCTTGGGGGTTCCTCTAGTCTCTGTCGGTCCAGTAGATCTGGCCATTTTTAGAAATTTGAATTTTGTTTTACATTTTTCTCCCATTCTATCTGGGACCTTCTATCATGTTTCTGGTTAGAACAGTAGATAGTGGTAGCTGGGCACCATCTAGTTCTTCTGTCTCAGGTTAGAAGAGGCTGTGGTTCATTTGGGATATTAGTCCTGTAGACTAGTTTCTTCTTGTGCCTTTGATTTCCTTCGTTCTCTTTTGCTCTGTATGAGTGGAGACCAATAGTTGTATCTTAGACGGCTGCTCACAAGCTTTTAAGACCCCAGACGCTTCTCACCCAACTAGGATGTAGAACATTATCATTATGAACTGTGTTATGCCAACTGACTACCTTGTCTCCAGTGACTATGGTCCTAAGCCTTTTAACTCAGTAAACCAATCCTATGAGTTGTTTGGATATGCCTAGGAAGCCTCTGTAACTGTGCCCCCTATGTGCTTTGTTATATACATAGATAAATATGCAGCATACACAAATGTGTATCTACATATGCCTACAAAGACACCTGTATATGCACATGCATTGACTCACATCTGCCTTCCTATACACATAGATGCATACATATCTACCTATGTAACCACATAGATGTTGTGTTGTTGTTGTTATTGTCATTTTTGTTTTCCCAGCATATTTTCTCTCTGTTGTCCAGATTGGGTAATTTCTATTACTCTGTCTTCAAGCTTACTGATTCTTTGCTCTGTCCCCATCATTCTGCTGTTGACCCAGTTCAGTGATTTTTTTTTTTTTTTGAGGTTATATGTTCTTTAGTTCTAACATTTTCATTTGTTTTTTATTTATATCTTTTATCTTTGCTGAACTTGATATTTCCTTGGTGAGATTTTGTATTTTTTTCATTTGTTTCAAATGTGTGCTTAATTACTTGTTGAAACGTTTTTATGATAGCCTCTTTAAAATAGTTTTCAGATTATTCTAACATGTCTGTTATTTTGGTGATGGCATCTATTGATTGTTCTTTTTCATTCACACTGAGATTTTCCTAGTTCTTGGTCTGATGAGTGGTTTTTTTTATTGAAATCTAGACATTTGGAGTA